AGGAGGGGACTCCTGAGGGCTAGACTGGAAAAGGATTGGGTGTTGTGCACTGTCTCCTCTTGGAGGAGCAGCAGCTGAATCAGTTGGAAAAAAGGAGGCAGGAGCAGAAGGATGGGAAGACAGTGAGAAGGTAGAAACTTGGATAGGATAGAAGGGAAATAGTGGTCTGGACAGTGTTTTAGGAAGGTGAGTCCAATTACTGTTGTGATGCCTCCAGTTTCAGTGTATTTTTGATATCTCACTAAGTGACAGGACAGAACCTACCCTCTGCAGCCATGTCAACTCAGCACCCACAGGGCTTCCCCCACTTGTGTGCTCAGGAGTGCCTGTCCTTGTAGGTAGCTTTTCCCACAGGCAGGGCTCCTGCAGGGTTTTTTCTATGTGGGTACCCTGTGAAGCAGTAGTAACCCTGTATTTCCTGGAGCTTCTTCAACACTGTGTGGGTGTACACAATCTCCTATGGAGTTTCCACATCGTAGCTCTACATCTTTTCCTTTGCAGGGTTCTGGAAATCTATGCAGGGCATCCCAAAAAGAAATTGTGGCTTATGTTGTTTTCACTGAAGAGCAGAATCCTTCTGCATTTCTTCTCTTAGGACAATGATGCAAGCAGGGGAAAGAGGACAGGTGAGAAGGTGACAGCCCCAGGAAGGAGTGAGCCAGTAGTTTCCTATGGAAAGTACTGCTTCACAGCTGAAGGGGGCTGCAGTGCACTATCCTGAGAAATCCCTGTCTTCCCCTCCTACAGACCCTATCAGTCACCCAGCCATGGCCTTTGGGAGAGAGAGCATCTGGTGTTTCTCCTACTTCTCTCATCTCCTGCTGGATCTGAAGGGGAGGAAGGAGGACCCAGGCGACTATAGGCCAGTCAGTCTCACCTCCAACCTTGGCAAAGTCTTTGAAAAAATTATCAAGGCTCACATTTGCAAGAGCCCGGCAGGAAAAATTATGCTGAGCGGAAACCAGCACGGGTTCATAGCAGGCAGATCATGCCTGACCAATCTAGTCTCTTTTTATGACCAGGTTACGAAACGCCTGGACGCAGGAGTAGGGGTTGATGTCGTATACTTAGACTTCAGAAAGGCCTTCGATATGGTATCCCACACCATACTGGTGAACAAGTTAAGAGGCTGTGACTTGGATGACTACACAGTCCGGTGGGTGGCGAATTGGCTGGAGGGTCGCACCCAGAGAGTCATGGTGGATGGGTTGGTACCGACCTGGAAGGGGGTGGGCACCGGGGTCCCGCAGGGCTCGGTCCTTGGACCGATACTCTTCAATGTCTTCATCAGCGACTTGGACGAGGAAGTGAAATG